GGGGGGAGCGAAGAGCCCCCCAAAATAGAAACGGCCGGAGGAAATGGAGGCAAACACAAAGGATCTCAGAGGGGCGCTGGGGCGAGGGCGCCTTCAGTCCATGCTCCTGAAAGTTGTGGCTCCGGCGCAGGCTGGGGAGGAACGGGGAGCGCGGGGCTGGAAACTGGCCATGCCTCCATACAGGAAGTAACATGTGAGCATGGATCCTGGGGCACGGCCCGGGAGGCTTCGGGCTTTACTAGGGCATTTTGGGTGCTGGAAGCGACTCTGGCCCTGTGTCGGAGGGAGAGAAGGACCGCTGTCTTCTGGGACCAGGATGTCTTTGCCAAATTCCAGTTATACGAGCTCTTAAAGAGGCCGCGCAGTGCGCGGGCTTGGCGACAACCCCGATCCGCGTAGTAAGCGGATCCTGGACTCCAGGAGCCCCTGGTCTGGGTCTGGGGAAAGAGGAGAACGGTCAGCTGCCTTTTTATTAAGGCAGGGTTTCCTGCTCGACTTTATCACAGTGAAAGTGCCGCGGCGGGACGCACAGCCCGCGGCCCCTGCTCACGCAGCCAGCCTGATGCATTCCCCAGCCTGGAAACAAAGCCCAGTGGCCTTTGCACCGGACTGTGCTGGGATTTTTTATTTTTTTTTCCCTTTTCGTGTTTCCATTGGTCAAATCCGCTGCTGGGGAAAGGGGAGAAGGGGTGGGATATCGATCCGTGGCTTGCAAAATCTAGCCCTTAGTAACCCACAACCCCTTTCTCGGCGCCACAGTGCAACGGTGGCGGAGTTTTCCCAACTCGCAGGAAGGTTCCTGCACCCGAGCCCGCCTGCGGGGAGAGCGCAGGAAGTGCGCCTCTTACCCCGGCAGGGTGAAAGCAGCGCCGCGGGGCAGGACTGATTTCCTGGCAGCTACCCGAGGAGCGGCTGGCCCTTTAGAAATCCGGGAGAGGCGTTCAGGGGAAATCGGAGAACTGCGCTTATCTGTAATGAGTTTTGTCCCTTAGCTCTCGGTGAGATCTTTATCGCTTAGGCATCTAAGCGCCCTATTTTCCCCTCTTACCCTGGTGCTAAAAGTGGGGGAGGCGAGCTTTTGATTAAATGTGTAATTGAGCCAAGGTAATTAGCCATTTGTAAATTTTGCCTAATTTTTCTGCCTCTGTTGAAAAGCGATCCTGACTTGTTTTTAACATGCTCCTGCTGTTCCATCCCACCACAGCAGGGTCCCCCACCAACCCAAACATCCCCACCGGATGCTCGGTTTTCGAATAATATACAGATGTTCCGAAATCCTCCCACAAGATGTGATTAGGGAGGCAGTTTCACACCCACATTTCCAAAAGAAAAAAATCTTTGAACAGTTACGTTTCGAATTACAAACTAATAAAAGCCAGGAAGTTCCCGGGAAGGGCTCTAGCTCTATCTTTAGCAGAACAGGAGTGAACACCCTCCCCCAGGGTGGAGAATGAGGCCCGTTTGTTTGCTTTGGAATTTGGTTCTTCCTGGTTTTGTTAGAATCGTGACTCCTTCATAACTGCTTGCAAAGGCGAGTTTTCTTGTAAGTGTTATATTTAAGAGATATTCATTTGTCAGTAAGAACATTTAGGAGCTTTGAAAGGTTAGAATGACCCCAGCATGCCTGACTACCTTCTTAGAAGTTGATTGATAAAATGGGAACAATCTTTCAAACTTCACCAGCACTTGGGTCAGCATCCTCAGGTGAGTTTCCACCTCTGTAAAGTGGACATAATAGAAGTCATCCTTCGTAGAATGCTGTCTATGGGCGCTGTGCTGAATTCTTTCCATAAATTCTTTACGCATTCAATGTACTGAGTACTACTGTGTGCAAGGCATACTGGGCACAGACATGAATGAAAAAGGCAAAGCCCTGAGCCTTTTGGGAGCTTCATTCCAAAGTATGGGCTGTTACTCTCTGGTGCCCTTCAACTCTGCCAGTAGTTAAAGTTATTTTCTCTAGGGCCAGTTGGCGGAGTGGAGGTTAAGGCAGCTGGGTACCACATTGCTGACGGCATGGTTCAAGTCCCAGATCCGGCGGCTTGAGAAACATGCCAGTGTGTGTGCATATGTGTCGAAAATCCCAAGAGGAGAATGGAGGAGAAGGGATTGTCCATGCCACAATTCCTTTTCCTCCATTCTCCTCTTGGGATCTTGGGCATACATGCACACATGCCAGTGTGCATTTTAAGCCGCCCTGCCAGGACTTGAACCACAGTCAACTATGTGAGAGTCCAGTGTTGTAACAATTCCACCATCTGCCGGTCCTCTTTTTCCTTTTTTTATGGACAAGCAAACATACTCAGAGGAGTAAAATGCTATATCCCTAGCTAGTGAGCAACATAATTGAGATTCTGAACCCAAGCCTGTTGTTTGCCTCCACAGCTATGAAAAGGGAAGAGAAGAAAAAAGAAAAAAAAATTAAAAAGGTTCAAGAAGATACTAAAATGTGGAAAGAACAAGTCGTTTCACAATCTGGAAAACAACCACAAGTTTGGAGAATGAATCACCTCTACCTTAGTAGTAAAGAGACTTCATGCTAAAATTTTAACATCAAGTTAGGTCTGGGCTGGTGATTTTTCTGGGTCTCCAAATTGATATTTACCCTAAACTGCTCTTGGGAGAACAACCCAGACCCCACCAGTTCCCTAAGAATAAAATATTATAGGCATATCACACAAATGACTTTTCATTCATTCATTCAAACAATTTCAGAGTAGTTTATACACACCAGACCTTACACTCCCGCCAAGCGATTACAACCCTGCCCCAAAGTGATGTGAGGGCCGCATGAACCAGTGAATAGAGTTAGTGTTGAGGTCCCTGGAAGTGCCAAAGGAGAGAGAGGCTAGCTACCTGATGGGAATATAAGAAGACTACAAAGAATACGTGCTAATAATGGTAATAAAATATACCCAATCTTAGCAGTTTGAAAAAAAAAATACACACTTATTAACCCTGATTTCCAGCTTTCAGAAGTTGGGTCACCTGCTCAAGGTCTCATTAGGCTAAAATCAAGGCACAGGCCAGGCTTTCTCATCTGGAGCTGGGATCCTCTTCTAAGCTCATTCTGTTATTCACAGATTTCAATTCCTTGTGGTTGTTGGACTGAAGTCTCTATTTTTGTTTTCTTTCTTTCTTTTTTTCTGTCTTTTTTCTTTTGAGAGGTTTTTGCATTTGCCAGAAAGAGAGACAGAGAGACAGAAAGTGAGAAATCACCCCCCAGGGGAGAATGGCCATGCCACAATCCTTTCTCCTCCATTCTCCTCTCAGGATCTTAGCCACACATGCACATGCACCCGACGTGAGTTTAAGCCATTGGGTCCAGGACTCGAACCACAGTCGACTACATGGGAGTCCAGCAACATAGCCATTATGCCGTATGCTAGTCCCAGAGGTCTCTCTTTTCTTGTTGGCTGTTGTCCTGGGGTGACTCTCAGCTAGAGGTCAGAGCTGCATGGCTTCCTCACAACATGGCAGCTCACTTCCTAAGTGCCAGCAGGAGAATCTCTACAATGGGCTAGGAAAGAGTCTTAAGAGTGACTATCCCATTACCTTTGCCCTATACATAACCTAACCAAGGAAGTTTCTGTCTTAGGACATTCACAGATCCTACCCACTCTCGAGAAGATAAGAGCATATACCAAGATGGTGGAATCTTAGGGGCCATATTAGAATCCTCCTACTATGGTGGAGGTAACCGATTTTTTGTTAAGTTTGTCTATTAATTCCTTACAAAAGATAGGGGAGCACCCCCAATAGATTCTTCACAACACAATCCATTCCCCAGCCAGCCTAGAACATGCATGGGGGGGCCCAGGACACAACCCCAGAACTTTCCATGTGGATCCAGAATTGCTGAGCATTGCATTACCACTGTGCCACCACAGCTGGCCCCTACTGACAACCTATTTTTAATATAGACTAGAGGTTAAAGGTGACAGCTCTTAAGCCAGTCTAGTTGGATTCTGAGGTTACTTGGGCATATCCATAGTCAACTTAACCACTTTGTGGTTTGGCTTTGGCATTTGCAAAGCAAGAATAATAACTGCACCCACTCCTAAATTGACAGGATTAAAAGGAATTAATATACATAAAGTACTTAGAGCAGTGCCAGGCGCCTAATAAGCATTTAATCAATGCAAGCTATTACTGTTATCTGTTCACCCAGCCTATGCGATAGGAAGTAAACATCTGTTATTTTCTACCTGCCTAGTTTCCATTTCTTTTCTTCTGAGAAATAGCACCTCAGTTGTCTTTTGTGCTAGTTTCACCGGATGGCCTTGGAAAGCCTCTTCCTTTCTTCTCCTACCCTACCCTCTGCCGCTCCACCTCCCTGGCTCAGCATGGACCACCACTGGGATCATCTCACTCCCTGACTTAGTCATGGCCACATATCACCAGCTGGCTCAAAGACAGTCAGATTTCCTCTGGGTTTGCCAGGCTGGAAGACCTTAAGTCTTGAATTACAGGAAGGACACCGTATGGGATGAGCCCACTGGTGGATGAAGCTGACACTCAGAGGAAAGCAGAATGGAAAGGTGGGAGCCAATAAACCCCTGATACATCATCTGAGTCCTTAAATTAAATCTCAACTGAAGCCAGAGCAAACTCTGAGTTTTTCAATTACTTAAGCTGATAAATTCCTCTTATTCCTTAGGCCTCTTTCAGTGAGGCTTTTATTCATTGAAACAAAAATCCTGAAACTTGGTACCAGGGGCAATAAACAAACTATCCATATTTTACAAAGAAGGAAACAGGAGCCGTTAGAATTAAGTGATTTAGTTAAGGTGAAGGAAACTTAACAACAGAAGACTTAAACTTCTAACATCAGGTCTACTGTATAGGTCATTTATTGTTGTAACAAATCACTCCAAAATTTAATAGCTTGACACAACCAGTATTTTATGTGTCCTTGATTCTGTAGGC